CTACTGTAAAGAATCACTTATTAAATATACATTGGGGCTTTGGTTCTTGCTTTTAAGAAATGAGGATCTAGCACAAAAACTAGAGAGAAAACTAGAGAATTTACTCCTGCCCACATGGAGGCAAAAGAGGACGTGGTCACTAAATGGCAGAACAAACACCATAAGTCCGTACCTCAGATGGAGCAGAATTCGCTCTCCTCCAACATCAAAGTAATTTTAAGTGACTAAAGGCAACTCAAATTTTTAGATCAGTCTAATAGGTGGGTTCTCTGCTACCGCATTAAGGACACTGTTTCAAATCAGTAGCTAGTGCCAAGCCTCAATGCAAGATTCATTTTCATTACAGCTACGCCTTGCAGGAGTCCAAAGGGGAGAGAGTGTTAACTGACCTGAAAACAAGGTCCCATAGCTTCGAGGTTAGATACATACACACATGCCACTTTAAGAACTGTTTCCAGAAGAGACTAGTTTAGCACAGCTCCTGCTGCCTTGGCTATAGAAAGAAGTTGGCTGATGGCTATATTGCTGCCTTTAGCAAGAATGTCAAGTTCAAATCAAATCTGCAGGAAAATTTTGGATGGACAGTCAGTCCCATCACCAGGATTGTACTTGCTAGCATCAACTCAAATACCTTCCCGTTTTCATTTAGTGTACCGAGCCTAACAATGTGCTGTCCAATGCTGGATTTTAAGTTTCATTGCCACACATCTCAGTAAATCAAAGGCATCACTTCCCAATTCCACTTCTCTGAATTACTTATTTTAAACTGTCAGCATCAAACAAGTGGTTTGTGAGCTACCTTGATACTTAATTTATTTTCAACAGGAACAGCAGATATAAGCATCTGTCAGGACTGGGCATCACAGGAACATACTCTTTCTGATATTCCAAGTAGTCAACATACATAGAAACTTATTACTGCTTTTGTCCAACAAACTGAGTATGGATGGGAAGAAGCAACACCAACATAAAATCAAACCCTCCTTGAACACCAAAAATTGCCCTATTAAAAATACACTTACCTTGCAACATAGCTCTTACCACCAATCTAAGATTAATAAGTAATTTCTGATATAAAATTTCTGATACAAAACCATGAAAGTAGTAAATGCAATGTAATGTATAATACATGCAATGTGTTTGCCTATTCAATACAGGATTTATTCAGCACAGTTTACAATATAACTGCACTAAAAAAATAAGAACCCAAGGTAATGCTGCTGCAACTCACATCTTTGTACTCACAGAGTCGACTCCTCTCTCCCCCCCAGATGCTCAACACTTTCTACAGTTCGGCTGCAAGACAGAACTGCCTCCAATTAAAAGTGAAACCTTGGCTCTGCTTGACAGCATTACTCTCCTACGAAGTAGTAATGAATGGAAGGACAGCCTACACAGCCTAAAGCAGTAACTGTGATGTACAGGTGAGCAGCATATTTACAATAAGGGCACATTGTAAAATCTGAGTTTATTTCATTGCAAATGTGGTAATAGTGTTTTGGACAAAATTGAGAAATATTTTAAAAACCTGTTATCATTTTGGATTTTTCTGTTATTAGAGCTGCGAGCTTCCTAAAGAGTGTTCTTTGGTGTTATATATTCATGATCCCTCTTACAACTCCTCTGTTGGCAGCATTTTTTCTAAATCAGATACTGAAGTCCTAAAAGTCTAGCTAGGCTCTGGCTTACTTGGCATGGCCGATGAAAGATACTGTTCTCCTAGAGAAAAAGACATACAGAAATGATACGTTCGGTGTTTTTGACAGCCTTCATAGTCTAAGCATCTCATACCACCATATATAGAAAAACTTCCTTGAGATAAAGTGGTCTCATTGCACCAGTTTCACAACTTGTTACAGCCCCCTTTGCTAGCTGCTTAGTACTCACACAAAACTATTCGCTTCCTTGGAGTCAGCAAAATTAACACATCCCTAATTTCTAAGAAAAAGCAATTACTCTGAAGTTTTAAAAGCAAACTTCGTTTAGTAATTGTGAAGAGCATTTCTGAAGCCATGATTACCCAAGGCTGACACAGTTGGTACAACTCCTATTTTACTCACAATGGAGTGGCCCAATTTGTAAAACAAAATGTTGCAATCTTTCAGGAGTTTCACAGAGTTTGATTATATTTGTGCCATAATTAAGCTGCATTCATTCTTGCTTACCACCACCAAATAGATTCAGAATTGTAGCCCAACAGCTGAGCTGGCATAGCAGCCACAACTGGGCAAATACTGGCTTTAACGAGTGACCTTGAGAACTCTGCTGACTTACAAAAACTGACTTCTAAATGAATATTTAGAATATAGAAAATTTTGCACTACAAATCCAAACAAGACAAAGTTGAAAAGTTTCAACAAACTCACTCTAAATTAAGAGGCAAGTAAATTAACAGTGTACTTGTGATTGTAAAACTACTTTGCTTGAGGGGAAATTCTGCTTAGCTGATGAATATCTGAAAGGCTTCAAAAGATTAATTAAATAATCCTATGGAAAACATGGTTGTTCCCTAATGCTCCATAATGAATAATACTAATTATGAATATACACTGTACTCAGTGTGTGCTTTTGGAATTAATTTGGCAACTGTGACTTTAGTTGAAATATCACTGCTTGCATCAGAACTGTCTAGATTTTGTTTTTGGAAGGATTTATTAATTGACGAACTCAATTTATTTACTGCTTAACCTCTGAGGCTCTTATTTATTTCACTGTTAAGACAGGAGCTTATCAAGACAACCTAAAGAAAGAAAGAACTGCATCTATAGATGAGAAATTTGCTGGGGTTTTTTTGTTTGGTTTGTGGTTTGCTCCCTCCCCACTCCAGCCACCTCTAGACTTCTGAGAGGACTTCCAAGAGGGTCAGAGAAGAATCTGTGACCTTTAATTGAAGATGCACTGCTAGATATTCAAGGAATCCCTATTAATCACAAACAAGAACATGAGAACAATTAGAGAGCTTGGAGCAAGAGGAAACAACAAAATTTCATACCCAGTTGGGCTCCTACCAGACTTTCAGAGTGTTTAATGGGAAGTGTTGTATTTGCAATGCCTCAACTATACCGTTGACTTATTTTGATCCCTAACTCAACAAAGTTATGCCTACACAACAAACGGAGATATAACAGCCGTTTCCCAAAGCCCAGCTATACTGCTTTAGATCTAGTTTACAATTCAAGTGTAAAAACAAAGCAACAAAGGCTCTAAGCCTCAAGACGAGGATCTAGGCCAGGACTTGGACTTAAGAGCAGTTAGCCATTACCCTTTCACTGTTACTGTCACATGCTCAGGAAAGGATCTGCCTAAGCTTATACTGCAGTTCCATTTGGCTTTGCTGTGTAGGTGTAACTAGTCCAATTGTAGTAACTGACTATATAAATTACAACTCCCTTAAGACATAATATTTTTTCATTTACATGGGCTTTGCCTTCAAAAACAAATTAATAGTAGGTTGGCATCAATACCTTCTTCCTACAAGTCACAATAACCAACTACTAGAGAAATAAATCAGAAGTAAAGCCACTGATAACCCAGTTCTTATGCACACTCGTGTCCCACATTTGCAAGAATCTTACTTTATGGAAATTGGAGTTTGATACAGTAAATACATTGCAAGTTTACCAACTCTGAATACTAAGAAAGAAATGTTGACTCTGTACTTTTCCTTTTTTAAACAAATATTACAAAATTGAATTTTATTTTCACACAAGATGCACTTATAAAATTGATACAGAATGTCATTCAACAGAAAAAAATGAAAGCAATTTCAAGCTTCCTTTAGCAACTGCTAAATAATTCAAAAATAAGATACAGCAAATTGACAGATAATCTGATCTCAATGTGTGAACATCTCCAATTAGTATAAAATACATGAAAAATTAAAGAATTTCAAATTTTTCCCCAGCACAAGTCCTCTTCTTTTTACTCTCATCCCTGAACAGTAACCACAGATTTTAGCCGTTATTCCAGCTACTCTCGATGGGAGAGGAGAGGCTGAAAGACTGCAGCAAGAAGCTCCCACCAGAGCAGACGATGCTAACCTGTATGGCAAAGCTATCTCATTACCAAGTCTGCTCAGATACGTAATAACTCTGTCCAACTCTCGCCATTTGCTATATTACTGTAGTCCTGCAAGTTTCAGGGATTAGCATATACATTAAACTTTCACATGTTCATAAACCAAATAAACTTTGGCTTTCCCACTCTGACAAATTATGAAATTAGCAAAGAGCAAATTTTGCCTTCATTTGTTCAGCACTGAAGTACTTTTATGATACCTTCCCTTGGAAAGTGAAACCAGTGCTTACTTAAATATCTGAAAGGCATTTGAAGTTAATGCTGTCTTTTAACAATATATGAGGAATTTATCATTAACTAAAGAGTCTCTTCTGATACAAGTCTCCAGCCTAAGTTTTGAGCTCAAATTTATTCCATTCTTGGTATGGGGATTCCAAACTATCTTTCATCAATCCTCCGACAAGTGCATCTCCCACTAGAAATTTAGATGCACTGTAATGCTTAAATGCTCTTTATAGATCTAGCCATCTATTTAAGTTTGGCTAAAACCAATCAATTAAAATGGATAATTCTGATTTGATTGTCAGTATGAACTTTTATAGGCATGTTCTCAGGCAAGTTAATACACAGATGTCATTCTTATCAGACTTAAACCCAAAATGCAGTCTAATATTCTTTTCTGCTGCATTAATGCCATACATACAGTTCCGACACAACAGTTGCTTGCTGCAATTAACACTGCTTTTTCCCAACATATAGAAGTGCCCCTTTATTATTTTTTTCTACAGCAACAAAAAATGCTCAGCTTTTAAAAATAATTTTATAAATAATTTGCCTTGCAGGACACACAACTTAACACAAGAAATTATTATGCTTCATATTTGCCCAGTTAAGCAGAACCTTCATTACTGTGATCTTTCCCT